AATAAGCTTCAGACGTGCCCTTTTTAATTATTGTTTTTTTGGTGTGAGAACGTTTTTTTAAAGTTTTGGTTCCTTATTTGTGAGTACTAATCTTTGGAACTAACAGTCTGATTTAAGAAATTCCTTTTCTTTATACGGGTTATTTAAAATAGCTATAAATACATTTAATAAACTTGTAACTAAGCTGAATCTGTACATTAAATATTTTTTGCTATATCTTATTGAAATAGACATTATTATCGATACAGAGGCCGAATCTATAGGTTTCCGAATTTTTGTCTGTCTGTCTGTGATCGCATCACGGAAAAACCACTGGAGAGATTTTGATGAAATTTGGTATGATAATAGCTGGTTATCCGGGTCAACATATATGATACTTTTTACTGCGGGAAAATATCACATATCTGAGAAATCTTTAATAAACGTTAAAACGAAAGTAGGGATGAACCCGAGCGGAGCAAGAGCGAGTCGCTAGTGAGCAATATGAAAGATTACGCTATGACATTTTGCAAACGGAAGCACCAACGAGCCGCGAACAAAAACTAGTTAATTTTACACAATATACCAACTACTCGATAATTAGAATAACAAACGTATTTATTAGTAAATAGATTTAGGTAGATATTTAATGAAATTTCTATAATATAACTATAAATAGTTACTCCTACAGCATAATATACCCCTCGATAGAATTCTCTTGTATCTTCTATCAAAGGAAATACCGACGCTTCATCAACCAATAGGCATAATTAATATTCAAATCTCTCTATAGTGTAACTACAATATAATTAAATCTAATATATAAATATCTCGTGTCAAGGTTTTTGTGGTCACGCTCCTCCAAAACGACTCGACCGATTTTAATGTTTTTTTGTATATTGGTAGTTATGAGGATAGGTCGTAAAGTATTCTTTACCGTCCTACCCCACCCATTTTTTAATCGAGATTTGAATATTTTTGTATGAATAATATTATATAAATAGGTACAGAGCGATGAACTGGAGCGAAGGTGACTCGCTGTATAACATAAAGCCATAGAGTTTTTATTGTAGATTGAACGTGGGCGTAGCCGCGGGTTCTGCTATTGTTCTTATAATACTTAATAATGTTCTATATGCTACTTTATTCTCCTTTAAGTCAACAACAATATAACTGATTGATCTGCTTCTGAAAATGTTAATGAACTAGAAATTATTATACGAATAGGTATGTTCGAGTTTATATATATATATATATATATATATATATATATATATATATATATATATAATGATAAATATATAACAAAGGTCACCATATAATCTATGTACACCAAATCTAAACCAGGCTAAGATGCGCCTAGCAAGAGATATTTTCAATAAGTAAAAAACAAAACTATCCCACGGGAACCGTAATTTTTCCGGAATAGAATGTAGTCCATGTGCTATTCCAGTCTATAATCTATCATTGTACCAAATTTCATTCAGATCCGTTCGGCGATTGATTGAGTAACAAACATCCATCCATCTATCCAAACTTTACTTATGTACTAGTAAGATAAAAGTAATTATAGTTTAGCTTTACATGATGTTTTAGCCAAATCTTCCGCCGACGTATTACATTCCATACTAAGTATAAGTATTCAATCTATACATATAATAAAATTGTAACTAAGCCGAATCTGTACATTAAATATTTTTTGGAGAATCTTATTGAAATAAACATTATTATCGATACAGAGGCCGAATCTATAGTTTTTAATTTTTGTCTGTCTGTCTGTCTATTACCGCATCACAGAAAAACCACTGGAGGGATATTGATGAAATTTGGTGGTGATAGCCGGTTATCCGGGTCAACATATAGGATACATTTTACCGCGGGAAAATGTCTCATTTTTGAGAAAAAATACAAAAACTGCAATGTAAGAGTATACCAATATGTAAAACCTAAGAATTTGGTTTGTGGTCATCTGAACGCTGGCGGAGCCACGGTTAGTGTTATTCTCTACATAAATATGTTCTATATCCGGAAATCGAAGGCGTGATCGTCTATAAAGTAGAGTGGCAATAAAAAATGTCACATCGTGCAGATTGTCGTCAACAAAAATAATAATTTCAAAAATGATTTATACATAAAGCAAAATACATCACAGGTCGTTGAACACTTCACATATTGTACTTTTATTCATGAATAAGTAATACAAGATTCGATTCAACTTTATGACTACGTACGCCTTTACAAAGCATATTACGATATCGTGTCGCATTGCGTCCTTTTGTTATATTTTGCCGCAGTACTTGCTTGTAATTGCGTATCCTAATTTAGAAGAGGTACATACTATATGGAAATTAAAGGATATTCTTTGGATGTGAGGTGTGAACGAAGAACCACGATGAATGGGAAAGACGTGTCGTGCTGTAATTAAATATTGTTGAAATTCTCGTAGATTGTGAAATTGTGAGTGGGAAATTTTTTAAAGCTTTAGATTTAATTTGTGCTTATAATTTTTAAAATTCCAAAACTTTAAGCGAGTTAATATTTTTTTCACCCAATTATTCTACGGCATGAACTTCCAGTACTGAAACTGTATCTATGTTATTTAATTTAGTATATAATAGTTTCATGCGTGCAGCATAGCACGTGACTAATCCAGTCGATAAGTTGCATTATGACAAACAAACAGACACATAAGCATGTATATTTAGCATATACATATAGACATACGTATGTTAAGTATTAGCGACTTACCATTGCTTTGCTCGTGTACAACCCAGGTTGCCTACCAGTAGCCTATATTTTACTCCAGGTTAAAGTCTATATATCTCTAAACCATTTCATCAAAATCAGTTTAGCCGTTTCAGCTTGAAGCGCGTTTAACAAACAATACAATACAAATATACACATTTAATATAGTCATCATATGTGTTTTTTAAAACAAGCTTTAATGTTATATAAGGATTACTATTCATGGTTTTGTATTTTTACAAGAAAATATAGTAATAAATATAAAAATTGTAATCGTAATAGTATTCAAATTGAATGAATCTGCCAACTCTACCAGATAGTCAGATTCAAGTCTCGCGCTTATAATACACTTGTCCTTCTTTGAAAACATTGGCCTAGATCGCATCAAATGTGTAGAAAATAGTACTTTTACATAATTCTTGTATTTATTTTCACGCTTTTTTTTAAATAAAGTCTTAGAAAGGACACAAAACTTGTCACTGAGGCAATAAAATTTACCTTAAATTATTTTAATGAGCTGAAATCAATCACTGGAACTATTTATGATGAATCATATAAAAAACAATAATTAAATTTAGCTATTCTCCTTTATCTTAAGACTTATGTCTATTCTTAACAGTACAGGGTTTAAAAAAACGCAGTTTGTGCAATAATTTTAATGTAAATCGATGTACCACATATAAATTTATCTGTACATTGTTTATATTAGATATTTAAAAGTAACAACCAATTTAGAGGTCAGTCATTTAAAAAGTAATACAAATGAACTACTTCTAATACAAACCTAATATGTTGATATTTACTTCATAGCTCTTCATTCAATATTAAAAATTATTTATCCACTACTGCATACTATAAATTGTACATCTTAATAAAATATTTTTGAATGAAAATGAGTGTTATTTGGCACAGTGGTGGCCTTATTACTTCTAAGCCAGATATTATGAGTTCTAGTGTACAGATGATATCGCGTATGAATGAAGTCGGTTAAAAATATTTTTTCAGTTTGAATACGATAGCAAAATTGAAGCTGTTCAGGCAGTAGTTGACCGATAGTACAAGTTTTTTTGCTGAGAAAATAACAGGTAAACGTCTACTCGTAAAGGATGTACGGTAAAGATTAAAAAGAGCGAATAGAAAAATTGGAGCAATATTTTATGTACAAATTCAATTCATTCGCGTCAAAACAAATCTTATGTAAGTGCCCGGCTAGAATGCGTAAACAAGGAAAAATAAAAATACAAGTATAAAGATTCCCAATTGAAACTTCTTTAAGAAGTTTATAAGCTCTTGGGATAAAACAGTTTATGATCAAGATTATATATTTATTATGTACCCATTAATATATTATTTATTACTTCATTGTTTCCAACCAAAACTTTTTAATTTCACCTTCTTATAAAGCCTACAAAATAAATTAATTAAAACATAATTCACAATGTATCTATTTCATCAACATTTATATGAACTACATTTGTCACATGAAAGAGCAACTGCCAAAAATGTGATTTAGTATATGGATTTCTTCTCTAAATACCTTCAATTTACATGTTAGACTTAGACCAGACATTAAAAAGTAAACATTTCATAACTAGGTACATCTTACAATATGCAATAGCTTTGCCCACTATTCCAATTCTACTCTGTTCTAAACATTACATCAATAATGTAAGAAGTAGCTTTAAAATTAATTTTAATATTTAAATTAGACCAAACATTTATAAATTATTTCGAATTTTCAACCATTTTCATTTTCTTGCTACATTAGGAGATGTACGCTGGGTTTTTATTGAAGAATATTTCGCCATTTCCTTTATTTTCAAAAAATATTATGTTAAATTTGTGCTACCCTGTGATGAAACTGGTAGGTGAAAGATAAATATAGGATAGAAAGAATAATATCTATATAAAAAGAAACATACTTTACCACCTATTCTCAAACCTACCAAAAATAGATCTTTTTTTAATAAAATCGTTCAAGTCGTTTCGGAGGATTGCGATTACAAACACCGTGACACGAGATATTTATATATTAGAGATTACCAACCAAAAGATAATCGGAACAAAGTATCCGAGTTTTAATTTAAAATCTTTAATAAAAACACAGCGTTCTCTATGTCTGTAGCATGAAAACAATCTCAGTACAATAGGAAAGTTTCAATTAATATCACAGTTTCTGTATTTAAAAGTAGGACAATATAAAGTTCTTTCACTACACGATTCAACTAGAAACAGTAAGTCCTTGACACGTCCGCACATTGTGTGTCTTGCTGTCACCCGAAGTAGTACTGCGCGTTTGAATATCGATATAAACTTCGAGAGTTGGGGTCCGTCTCGGTCTGCATTTGAATTCGAGGTAGGGTTTTGACCGCAACTCCGCGGCCAAGAGTACCGTGAGGCATAGTTCGTAGGGGCATTTCTACGGGGAATTCAGCTACCTGTCCATACATGTTAGTGCTAACATGCGGGTATGTATTAGGTACCGGTCGACCGACGTATCTATTGATTTTTGGGCTCAAATTGGACACCATGCTAGAGATTTGCATATCCTGTTTTAGACTGGAATCAACAGTGTCTACTGGTCCCGAGAGACTAGTTATGTTGATGTCATTGTCGACTTCTGATATGCTGTCGTTGAAACCATTTGGGATATCAGCACAGGTTGAAACGTCTGGACCTTTCGCTTGCTCTACAGTGTTCTTGTGCATTACACATCGTATGATTCCGACAATAAGGCACAAAAGACAGATGCCACTCGCTGCTGCTATTATGTATACGTACACCATGTCGAATTGATCTGTTAAAATAAAATGTTAGCGTTTAACAAAAATATAAAACTATATTAGTCAAAAAACGTTTAAAGCCTCAAAACGTTATTTTAATTTTCAAACAATAAATAAATGAAAGATAAATTCATTCGTTTGGATTTATAAAGGATTTACAGGCACTGTCAAAGTAAATTCTAGTACAAAAATATATCGTACAATAAAACTAGAGCAAGCAAAACAAAATTGGAGCCGAGTTTTGGTTTATGCGCCACGAAGCAAATTCAACGACCATGTTTTGCGGTTCGAAAAGGGGTAAGCATTGTCCGCAAAGTTTATGTACTCGTTGTTAAATATTTATTACACACTGTTATATTTTCGGGCTAAAATGTTACGATAATAGAACATGACACCCTTGTATTTTGTCTAGAAGTACTGGTCATAATTACAGCGGTTCTAATCTAAATATTAAAGGCTCCGAAAGGCTAACCAAATATAATTTTAATTAACAACTTCAAATAACTTGAATCTATGCCCTTAAAACAAGATAGCTTAAATTGGCATTGGAATAATAATTTTGGACCATTACAGTTATTTTATATATTGATACTGAATGGTGAATGAATATAAAAAACTTGTATTTTCTACACATATTATTTCAGTAGGAGTAATATCGACAATACTCATAGTTATTTTTTTAAAATAGCTCTTTGGTGGGTTAAAAAAGGCTTCTTACTGGAATAATATTTTTCCAAGCAATTTTGGTGAAAGTAAAATTTCAAGGAAACCCTTGTTAGAGGTTGTCGATAATGATGATCCTTTCAAAAGTTTAATCATTTAAGTCCATCGGGTAATTTGAGTGTTAACAAATCTTTTACTTTGATTAATTAGTAAAAGTATAGGTGAATTTAAAATTATTTTTTCAGATTATGACAACAAAATATAATGGATTATAAAGGGTTCAAGATACTAGGTAGTCGAATAGAGATGTGTACTCATAACTCCAAAATTTAATAATATTTCTAAGGCTAACATACCATCGTTCGGTAGTTGATGCCTTGGTGGCGCGACTGAAGGCTCCTCTCTACTCGTTAGGTTAGTTGAAAGGGAAGGCCGTTGTGGAGGTACAGCAGCCACAGCAGGTGCAGGTGGGACTGCTGATTCTCCCCACCATCGATCATTGGACTCATCTATAAAAAATAGAATTAATCACAAAAAATAGTTAATTATTTAAGTACATTTTCTTACATTTTATAAATTAAAATATTTTTTTAGTATATTGTCACAAATCAACAACAACGCAATTAACTTTAGTATACACAGCATAAAATCTATTATAAATACGCTTTAAGATAACATCAAAACAGATTACGAGGAGAAATATTATCTCGTAAGATATTACATCACTAATAGATTAAGAACACGAGCGCGTTTCCTCAAAGGGATTTTAGGTTTAATGACTACCACTAGCTATGAGCCAGCGATAGAACTGTGTGCTATAATTTATAATTTTATACTTCCAATTGATTTGAAGCAATTTAAATATATTCCTAAGTAAAATCTATCTATAAGTAATCCCGATTTCACCTCGAGATATATTTTCGTTTTCATTGAATGTAATAAACCATACTATTAAAATGAGTAAATTTTGATTCTGCGACTTTTTATTTATGAAGAATTCTTGAAAATAAGCCCAAAAACTTTATTTGGTTTATTGATTACGACTAAACTAAGGTTTTTACATCACACAGTTCGACTATATTTAATCTATTGCTTGTCTAAGTCTAATTAATATAAAGCACGGTATAAGTAATGCGATACCATACTAAAAAGCTAACTATATTTAGTGAACGCTAGGCTTTTCAAAAGCGCTCTCAAGCTCTACAAAGGGACTTAATCCGTTTTTACACGGCCAAAGTAAAGAAACCGACGTCTGCAAACAAATCCCAGTAAATTGCACGAGTTCAAATTAAGAGGGGATTACGCAAATTTCCCAGATACTATCTCCATAATGCCTTAATAATAATATCAGGATTACAAATTAGTTGCTATCAGTTTATAACTATTGCTTATTACACTGCCATTATAAACATAAATAACTTTTGGGAAAGCTATTGATATATTGACAGTATTTTATTTTTTGTTTATTGGAGTGTCTTGCGATCTCAAACTACTAAAATAATGAAAAAAATATTATTAACTAGCATTGCCCGCGGCTCCGACCGCGTTTAGATGACCATAAACCAAATTCTTAAGTTATACATATTAGTATACTCTTACATTGCAGTTTTTGTATTTTTTTCTCAGAAATAAGACATTTTCCGATTGCGATATTTTTGCGGTAAGAAGTACCCTATATGTTGACCCGGATAACCAGTTATCACCATACCAAATTTCATCAAAATTTGTCCAGTGGTTTTTCCGTGATGTGGTAAAAGACAGACAGACCAAAATTCTAAAAACTATAGATTCGGCCTCTGTATCGATAATAATGTTTATTTCAATAAGATTTTCCAAAAAAATATTGAATGTACAGATTCGGCTTAGTTACAATTTTATTATAGGTATGTATAGACTAGCGGTTCACCATCGCTTTGCTCGGGTTCGTCCCTAGCCATATAAATTTCATTTTTTTAGTGATTTTTTCCATTGAGTTATTCTGCTATTCGAGGCGGAGACAAATCCAACAAATCAAAGATCGTGAAGCTATTCTCGAGTTAAAAGTATCAAGTTAAAAGTGTAACAAACTCGAATTTGTTTTATATAATAATATAGATTTTAATTTTTGTGTATTATAGAGATGTTGTACGGCACTTTTTTCTATAATTGTTATCTACATAATACTAACGGATCCTTTTTTTAAGGCACAGGTTTGTGAGTTTTCAAAGGCGATATTTTATTTATATGTATTGAATAATTACTTATAGGTACGTAAGATGATTTTGAAGTATATATTTTTTTAAAAGACAATAGACGCCTCTTGCTTCGCTAAGCTTCAAGACTTTCTCGACTAACATTAGCTATATCTTCATGAAAAGCCCTATTATTTTAACGGAATAATAAACAGTCTATGAAGATACTGTCGGAACAATTTTTGAAGTTACATCAACGTATATTACATCATATATATATATATATATTAATTTTTGTGTATAGAGATGTTGTACGGCACTTTTTCTATAATTGTTATCTACATAATACTAACGGATCCTTTTTTTAAGGCACAGGTTTGTGAGTTTTCAAAGGCGATATTTTATTTATATGTATTGAATAATTACTTATAGGTACGTAAGATGATTTTGAAGTATATATTTTTTTAAAAGACAATAGACGCCTCTTGCTTCGCTAAGCTTCAAGACTTTCTCGACTAACATTAGCTATATCTTCATGAAAAGCCCTATTATTTTAACGGAATAATAAACAGTCTATGAAGATACTGTCGGAACAATTTTTGAAGTTACATCAACGTATATTACATCATATATATATATATATATTAATTTTTGTGTATAGAGATGTTGTACGGCACTTTTTCTATAATTGTTATCTACATAATACTAACGGATCCTTTTTTTAAGGCACAGGTTTGTAAGTTTTCAAAGGCGATATTTTATTTATAAGTATGGAATAATTACTTATAGGTACGTAAGATGATTTTGAAGTATATATTTTTTTAAAAGACAAAAGACGCCTCTTGCTTCGCTAAGCTTCAAGACTTTCTCGACTAACATTAGCTATATCTTCATGAAAAGCCCTTTTATTTTAACGGAATAATAAACAGTTTATGAAGATACTGTCAGAACAATTTTTGAAGTTAGATATATAGTTTCGAAGGTAAAATAATATTAGCAGTGTAGATGTAATTATAAGTATTTTTAATATTTTTTTCTATTTTATTTATTATTAGGGAAACAAAAAGTGTTACAATACAAACAACAAATAACAATAATAATATTATATAGAACAATAAAGTTTCCACAAACAATTCATATATAATTAGAGTTGATATTTAAACAAAACATTGAAACATTAATAAGATATATATGAAATTAAATTACAAATCTTTTTGAAGAAGCGCCTTTCTAATCTAATCACGGCAGGATCTTTATATTAATTCTTTTTGAGCAAATTTGATCCCGGTGATAGGAAGGTGAAACAAATCTCTTCAACTAGTATTGAAGCTGGGACACCTGAATTGTATATTATTTCATAGATAAGGGGAGTCGACAAAATTGATGATGTTCTCCTGACCGATTCCGGCCACGGCGGCCAATCTCATTGAGACTAGCCAACTGTGCAGGAGATATTATACTGCACAAGTGTACGCGCAAACACAACGTGCACTCTCTATTCCTGTCACTCTCATACTCCGGTGGGACGACCACTCGACACGACCGGTGAGAGTTAAGGCGCAGGACCGACGGCTTTACGTGCTCTAAACAAAACACAACTGTCGACAAAATTATAAATTGTTTTATATGAAAATATTTAGTATTTAGTATGTTTTCTCTTTAAATGTAAGTAGAGTATTAATTAGTTGCCATTAAATCTTGCATTAGTTGTTTCGATACAATTTCTGTATTTTGCTTATCGATTTATAGCTTATCTATTATTTTAATACAGTCATCCTCTTTAGTTTAGATACGCATATCTCTACATATGTCAACTCAATGCCCTATATGTTCACAACTTTACTTGATATTTTAAAAGTACAATATATATATATATATATATATATATATATATATATATATATATATATATATATATATATATATATATTTATATGTATGTATATATATATATATCTCTAGTATATTTGCTATAAACAAGAGTTGTTTCTGAAATTTCCCGGTCAAACAATATACAATGTGCTATAATTTGTTAAAATTAGAGCTGTTATAAAAAATCAGTAAACGATTTGCAAGTAGTTCTAATAGCCTAAAGTCCATAAAAAATAATGGCCGCTACAGCAGACCATAAAATATAAAAGTTTACTAGCACCTGAACATCTTTACAACGTAGCTTACGGTATAAACGTTTAGCATCTTTATGTTTGCTTCTTTATTGAGGCATTAAGAGCTTGAGGATAATCCTTCATGGGTTATATGCGGCCCTCACACAGTTTTTCCCATAATATTTAAAAAAGTGTAATTGATCATATCTAGTTTCGTTTTAGCTAACAGCGCGACTTAAAAAAATGTTTTAAATGGTTTCAAAATCGTTTTTTTATAGATTTAAGGCTAGTTTCGTCGTGTTATTTCATTGTTTTTAAATTTAATTAATGGGCTGTTAAATTTTCTAAGTACCTTAATATGTTAACGGATCTCTAATGTTCTAGCTCTATATGTCCGTAGCGTTGGTTACAGTTAAATACGAGTACCTGGGCCACCGAGCATCGCTTGGAGTTTTTGGTCGAAAGTACAATTTACTTTTAAAAAAAAAAACAAAAAACTTGAATAAATACAAAAAAATAAATAAAATTAAATTATACCTTTGTATCCGACCGCAGTTCGAAGCAGGACACCATATTTTTGCGTGGAAGAATGCGAAAGAAAACCACATGAAAATTCTAAAACACGCGTTTCCCCAGACATAATGCACAAAAAAACGATCACATTATACTAAAAATGGTCGCTGTGACAGCCGCTAACGTAGATTAAAACGAGTTCAAGTAAAAATAAAACTATCTTTTCTAATGCTTTACAGCAATTTTGGTCACGGGAGAGAATAATGTTTTAGTCGTCTCAAAGGTTACAGACAGTGCCTACCTACTACCTACAAAATTATAATTCAAAAATGGCACCAAAGTACCTACCTACCTTATTTGTTTGGTAATTTTAAACGTCGGGAACCAAAAATCAAAATTAATTATATTTAACATGACAAATATTCGCGTAAATCTAAGAAAGTATTATGAGTTCTAGGCACTAAATTCCCGGTGAAAATAACTGTTTGTGCATTCAGCTTGTACTGCCTTGGTGGTCTAATAGCTAGCATATAGCTGCAGACCCTAACAGAAACAGCTGCTAAGATCCTAGCAGTTTGAGTACCGCGTCGGGCCAAGTATAGTTCTTGAGATTTATCATCAAGAAATTTTGAGTAACAGTGACATGCATAGTCTCTGGACTAGAAAGATTGGCCATCGTCTCCGAAATTGGTCCGGTAATAGTATTATTATTACTCTTAA